GGTTGAGTATTCTTTAGGGGGTTTCATTGATAAAACCTGTCAGGATTTTTTCTCCAAGATCAAGGATTAATTTAAGGGGTTTTTGTACAATATTTCACAACGAGGATTCAATCGAGTGAAAGATTTGAAGAACGAGGTTTTGTCAAAAGAGTAACACTAACCGGATGATCGACTTGGAAGTGTCGGGTCACTTGATCTTGCTTAAGATCAATGGGAGAGAAAAGAAGTTAGAATCAACATCAAACATAGGGTTTAGGGGTTTGGATTGCTGCTTTTTCTCTTGTATACAATTCTAGCAAATGTTAATTACATATCTCAATTCTATTTGGGATTGGGGGCAGACGTACCCATAGTGAGGACTGTAACAATCCAATTTTGAATAATTGGTTATTTGTACTAATTAATCGATTTAATGAATTATTGGATCTATTTAATTTATATGAGTTAATGAATTTAACTGATTTATTCTATTTGATAGAATAAGAGGAATTTACTATATCTTCTCTAATTAATGATAAGATGAGATATATTGAGGAGAGATAAAAGAGAAGGAAAAACAAGAGAAAGAAAGAAGGAAGAAGAGAGAAGAGGAGAAAATAGAGGAAAAGCTTGGAAAGCTTAAGAACAACTTCTAGCTTCGATTAATCAAGGTAAGGGTGTGAAATCTTATTATTCTCTCAATGTGTATGATTATGTATGTGTTTGTTAGATTGGTTTGGATTGTTGGAGAGTTTTGCTCATTTTCCATTTTAGGGCAGAAATGAGTTTAATCGATAGAAACTGATGTTTTCGCGAATGAAACTCGAAATAAATTGCGTAGTTTAGTCGGGTAATGTTTAGCCGTGATTATTGGATTTCATTTGATTGAATTTGGTTGAATTTGTGGGTTTTGACATTTTTGGACAATTGGAGGTTAAGATTTTGGATGAAAATCGGAAGTCGTAGAATTTGCGCTTTATGATCCTAAATTGTTACTATATGGTTGGTAATGATGAGTAGGTATTTAATCGGGAGAAAATAATAAAATCGGTCGGGTTTTTAGAGGTTTTGGGCACAAACCCGTAACCTTGTTTTTTCAAAATTTCAGGCGTTAACCGGTTAACACTTTGGGTTAACCGATTAACGGTATAAAAAATGGCCTAAAAACTGAATTTTTGGAGCCGTTAACCGGCTAACCGTATCTGTTAACCGATTAACGGAGTCTTAATGCGCCAGGATTTTGAAAATCTGGGTGTGCTAACCGGTTAACGGAAAGTGTTAACCGGTTAACATTGTAAGTGTGAGGAAAAATATTATTTTTCAAAACTTTGGAAATTCATAACTTCTTCACCGTTTATCGAATTTTGTCGTTCTTTATATCAAACTGAAGCTAATAATATGTTCTATAACTTGGTGAAAAGAAATATTATTTTTAGCCGATTTTACCGATTAATCGAGATTAATTATTTTAAGTAAGTGAGGCTTAAATAATTAGAGCGTTCGATTGCCGTCTGGCATAATTGCTGTGAATGCATATTGATTGTATGCAATATTGTGAATAATGCATGAGAACATATTGTGAATATGCGTGCATTAATTGAAAATGTGGTGATGGCATTGAATTGTGAATGCATATTGATTGTATGCAATATTGTGAATAATGCATGAGAACATATTGTGAATATGTGTGCATTGATTGAAAATGTGGTGATGGCATTGAATTGTGAATGCATATTGATTGTATGCAATATTGTGAATAATGGATGAGAACATATTGTGAATATGTGTGCATTGATTGAAAATGCGGTGATGACATTGAATTGTGAATGCATATTGATTGTATGTAATATTGTGAATAATGCATGAGAACATATTGTGAATAGTGTGCATTGCTTGATAAATGTGATGATATTGAAAGTATGAATACTTTGATATGATGTGTGAGTGTGCAATCATGATATAATTCTTGTGTGATGAATTATTTGAGAATGCATGAGATTAAGATGCGAGAACGGTCTTAAGTGCATTTGGTTGTTGATTGCGTACGCATCATTTGGTCAAGAGGCAATGCTTGCTAGTGTCGTGGAGACTAGTGACTTGTCCCAAACCTAGAAGAGTGGGTTTGAAAGCTTAGAGGACGGGCTTTTGTTGTTATCGGTCTAGAGGACGGACCCGGTTTAAATGTAAAAACCGAAAAATGATAACAAGTGTTGGTACCACATGACATTGAGTTGCATTGAGTCACATGACATATATCATTGTTATATGGAAGTATGCATGTGTATGAATTGTTGAATGGGAATTGTGATTGGATGAATAAACATAATTGTAAATGTTTACGTGGAATGATGTGAATTATGGATATATGCATGATAAATATGCTTGGTGTTATAGATATGTATGTGTATATATATATACTACATGATGAATTGTGGTGAAGGAACATGAATGTGTATGTTTGCGTGTAATGATGTAAATTGTGCATATGTACATTACGATGTATATGAGTGAATTATGATAAAATGTGGTGAGATCGTAATGTATGCATATTTTTATGTTAATGTACATATATGATTGTTGTATGAAGTTATACATGTGTGTATGTACATGACTTGTGTAATTGAGAATGATGAATATGTGATTGTTGTATGAAAGTGTGCATATGTGCGTGAATTGTTGGATTGAGAATTTTGGATGTAGGCGTGATGAAATATGCTTGAAGATTATCCATATTGGTTTATATAAACATTATGAGGTATATGTTATTGATAATGAATTGTGGTGAGAAAAATGTGGAATATGTATATTCTATGCTTGTGTATACATATATGATTATATGCATTATTATTATGATAATATTTCTCACCCTTCAGCTGGAATGATGTCCTATCTGACATCGTGTAGGTATCAAGAATAGAGCTGCTCGTAGTTGCGTGGTCGTTGTTGGTGTAACCATTTAGTAATTTAGTTATATTGGGTCGAGTCATACTCTGGTCATGTAACACTGGGATCGTTGGTTTATGTTTTCGAGATACTTTATGTACTATATGTTATGTTTTTGTATTCATTGGAATATTATGATGTTGACCTTAGTGCCTAAGTAATGTTGAAATATATGATGAATCTGAGTATTCTGTTAAGAGAATTATGTTATAAAATGAATCTGCTGCTTCATGCAAAAATGAAACTTTGAAAAGCATGATATTTATTGAAGTGTTAATGAGCATGACAAGTGGTTTTTGATGTTTGAAAGTTATGTGTGACGCCCTTTTGTGAATGCATGAAAATTTACTCTGATTATTCGTATATTTTCCGTGGGGTTTAGAAGGGTGTTACAAGGACAACTGAGATACTACCTAAACAAATCTTGGCGCTCTCTTTCTCTCTCTACCATGTTATAATACACTTAGTAAGAAATTTGATTAGCTGAAAATTATGTTTATGTTGAAGTATTTCAAATTGTTTTTGTAAGACAATTGCAATTGGATTTTCATACTATCAACATAAAGGAAAATAAGCTTGGTGTTTATTGCACACAAATTGTTTAATAAATTGATTGTACACTAAGTGTTCGATAAATTATCTTAGGTAAATTTTTGTTTTCTATTTCATTGGAAGTTGATTATCATAGTGTGATTTAGTTCAAACATATTTTGTAAAACATATTGATTTACTTTATCATCATTGCTATATGTTTTGTTACAGTTTATATGCATATCTGATTCTTCCAATAACGGTACGGATAGACGAGTGTCGATCCGGAATAACTTCCGCTTGCCATAACAAATATTTTTCAAATTGGAAGTTTTTAATTGAAGAAATTTTTATTGGCAATCTATTCAACCCCCTTCTAGATCGTTGCCCTCTTCTAACACAGGTGACCGATTTAGTGAAGACGGTGGAAATGAAGAACCATGCTCTGGTTTATTCTCGGAGCAATTTGTCATCTAATTAAGAGGAATTAGAGTCTCTGCGTTTTCTGAACGCTTCTCTGACTCAACAGTTAGTCGACTATACAGGCCCTATCCTTGAGGTAGTCTCACAACCGTTTGATAATATGTTACAACAAGTGAAACATTTTCACTGTCCTTTGGTTGTCTCAAGGCAGTAACTTAGGGCGAATCAAATGGTCAAAGATGAGAATGTTGTGTCCCTGCAAATGTAACCTTATCGGCCATTCTTCCGTTAATATATAGTGTTATATTTGTGGAGATACTAAAACAGAACACCCTCACCCAAAAGTTGTACCAACCAAACGATACCTTAAGGAATTGCTCTGAGGTACCGATGACGTGTAAAGACATCAGTCAAAGAAGAGGAAATCCTCCACTACTCTTAAAAGATAAGTGGTTAAAAAAATAAAAAAAAATATCAAAAAATTTCTTTCATACATTTCAAATATTTTAAATAATCAAAATATTGACCACATATGTCCTAGATTATTAAAACTATATAAAAAATATATAATAAAATAAACGAGACGAATTTGAGATGAGTATTAATGTTCTTATTACCCAATCCATCTCAATATTTTATAATCGAAAAAAATACAAACTCAAATTCAAATATAATCAAAACAAATTTTCTCGGTCAAATTTGAGATGAATTTGAATGTATATTATATTGTTTTTTTAAAAAAAATTATTATTACAAAATTAATAAAGAAGAAATAGACAATATCGATTAGTGTTAAGAGGATTGATTCAAAGAATAAAAACAAACAGTAGTTTGTAGTACGTCGTAAAGTTATTATTTACTACGTATAAGCAATGTTATCTCTCTCCCACTCGCCTTTAATACCCATCACGATTTCCGCGCTTCTTCTTTCAAACAATTAGATCCAACGGTTCAGATTTCAGTCTTTCTTTGACCCTTGTAACAAGCTCGATATTCCAACCACTATATAACCACTTCACCCTTCTCTTCCTTCTCTCTCGCATCATCTCATTTCTTATTGTTCCTCTTCCTCGCCCCCTTTCACTTTTCTATCACTTTTTGCGATCTCTCTCTGAAACGACACAATGTCCGCCGAGAAAGAGAGAGAAACCCAAGTTTACATGGCCAAGCTTTCTGAACAGGCTGAGAGATATGAAGGTATGTTCTTTATTTTGTCGTTTTTTAATTAGGTTTGTGTTTTTTATGCTGACATTGTTCTAGATCTGTTTGTTGTGATTTGGTTTTTTTTGCTTTTGTTTGGATGAGTTTGAAATGTGTGTTGAGAATTGAGATGCAAAAGATTTGATTTTTAGATTTGGGTATTTATCATTGTTTATGGATCAGTTAATTTCTAGATTAGATTTATAGATTTAGGTATGTATCGTTGATTTGAATTAGTTAAGATTTTACTTGTAGTTGTTTTTATTGTTGTGTCATTGTGTTGGATTTTGGTGATACTTGTTTGATTTGATGCTTAGATATGGAACAAAATTGGTTCTTTTAAATTGAGTGATTTGGTAAAATGAGTAATCTCAATGTTGGTAAGAAATTTTATAGTTGATGAAATAGATGAGATAGTGCACTGTGTCTGCGAGTAGATTCATGTTGGAAACTGTTTATATTTTCAATTAAATTTGTCGATGCTTCTGAAAATTTGTTTTCCTTCATTATGCAGAAATGGTTGAATGTATGAAGAAAGTTGCAAAACTTGATGTTGAACTAACTGTGGAAGAGAGGAACCTCCTCTCAGTTGGATATAAAAACGTCATTGGTGCACGAAGAGCCTCATGGCGAATTATGTCATCAATTGAGCAGAAGGAAGAATCCAAGGGTAATGAACACAATGTTAAACTGATCAAGAACTACTGCCAAAAGGTCGAGGAGGAACTCTCAAAAATTTGTGGTGACATTCTGACTATTATAGATCAGCACTTGGTTCCTTCTTCCACCTCGGCAGAAGCTAATGTTTTCTATCATAAGATGTGAGTCATGTTGCTAAACTGATTGTGTACTAATTTTATTGATTGCTTACCTTTTGGCCATTAGTTTTACCTGTCTTCTGTATGGAGTACTTTCTTCCTTTTAGTAGATATATTAGTCTTTTTGGATTTAAAGATATCACAGATCTGACAACTTAGAATCTGCATGACTGTGTTTTTTCTAATGTGGCTTGCATATTTTGTCACGGCAATACAAGGGGAGTCCCATCTCATGAATGAGTTACTTACTGGATTTGTGAGTTTATTTTCTGTTGAAGATTTAGTGTTTGAGACAGTCTTTGAATTGTAATTAGTTATATATTATAGGTTGATACAATTGATGATATGATATGATACAAAAGACTAAACACTAGCCCTTGTTTACTTAGTTTCTTATTATAATCAAATAGTGAAGAAATCATGATAAGAACTAAGAAATATGAAAACTTACTCAGAACATAATTTAAGATACTCGAAGATGATAATGTGATATTATAACATAACCTCATACTCTTCAACATATTCTGCTCATCCTTATGTGATATCATATGACATCTCTTACTGGCCCACACATGTTTTAGCTCTCAACCCCTGATTTCCGTATGCTTCTTTTGATGCAGGAAAGGTGATTATTTCCGGTATCTTGCTGAGTTCAAGACTGACCAAGAAAGGAAAGAGGCTGCTGAGCAGTCACTTAAAGGATATGAGGTGTGTTTGATCTCTTGTATTTCAGAACTAAGTGGGTTCAATGATGAACTATTTCTGATATTATCTATTGTGTTTATGCTTGATTTTCTCAATTGTTTTTATTATTAGGCTGCTTCAGCCACTGCAAACACTGATCTTCCATCAACACATCCAATCCGTCTTGGACTTGCACTCAACTTCTCTGTCTTTTATTATGAGATTATGAACTCTCCTGAAAGGTAAGTAATTGGTTTTCAACATTTCTCATACTATGTCAATTACTTTTGTTCCTAGCTCTTGTCTCAATGTCATTACTAAAACTTACAGGGCTTGCCATTTGGCCAAACAAGCTTTTGATGAGGCGATTGCGGAGTTGGATACCTTGAGTGAAGAGTCATACAAGGACAGCACTTTGATCATGCAGTTGTTGAGAGACAACCTGACCCTCTGGACCTCTGATTTGCCTGAGGATGGAGGTAAGGAATAATGACTAGCACTTGTTTTTAAGATGCATCTGAGTTTTGTCCGAGTAAATCAGTGAATATCAAACTGTATGCTGCTAAATGATGATGTCTAATACACTGGAGTGGTTGGTGTACAACTTGTACAATCTCACTTGGTGGTGGATCTAGAAATTGAGTTGTGGAGACAATATTCATTTATATAATAGGTTAAAGGTGAGTGAGGGCAATACTCAGTTTATTAATACAGGGTCATTGGCAAATTATAGGTAGATATATTGGGGAGAAATGCTCCCCATTGTCCACCAAGTTGATTCGTCCATAATCACTGCAATAGGTAGATATATTGGTAAATTACAGGTAAGATATGGGGAACAAATGCTCCCCACTGCCCACCAAGTTGATCTGTGCGAAATCACTGCAATAGTTTATCATCCACTCAACATGTAACCTTGTCAGAAAATTAGATTAGGATGCATGAGTGTCGTCGAATAGTAGATCTATCGGTGTTACCTGCTAGAGAGTAGTGAAATTCTATTGCTATTGTTTTGCAATATGTGATTTAGTACAAAATATTGTCAAATAGTAGCAGAATTTAAATAAATTGTTATTTTCTGCTATCTGTGATTGAAAACATGACGAATAGAAAGCACAAAACTGCCTGCTCCTGGATATAAACTATCTGGGAAACCAAAGTCGTATTATTTCAAGAGCGGGTCATGTGAATCACTCCTAGTTACTGCATAATTAAGCTCTTGTTATTTGGTTTATACCCTATAAAGAGGTTCTAAAAGTTAATGCTCTCCTGCAGGTGAGGACAGCGGAAAAGCTGATGAAGTCAAACCTACTGAGCCTGAGGTATTTGTAAGATAAGTTTTGGTTATATTTACAATTTTTATTGTTTTGAAAAAGTCGTTAGTTATAGAGCTATAGCAGTATAATGTTGACTATGTAGAAAAATGAATTATTGTAAGAGAAAGAATAGGGTATATTATACACAAGTTTCTGAAGTCACTGTTTCAAAACACCCATTATTTTCTACTCCCAGAATTTGACATTTTTATATTTTTGCAGCATTGATAAGATTTCTTTGGATCTCTGGCCCTGATTCTGAAGCGAGAAATTTAGGATACTCAACAAATAGGGCATTTTAAAGCTATTTTTTGCTATGGATTTCAACTAGAAAAGGTGGACTTTGTCCACTTCATAACTCTGTGCCCTCTTAATTATCCAACCGAAGCCGGAAGATCTGCGACTGTCTTTGTGTTGCTTTATTTTTCCTTCAAACTTTTTGCTTTCTACCGCCTTATCTGTTTTTAATTAATTAGTTGAGGCAATTGACAATTCTCATCTACCTTATAAGCATATGTTTCTGTGTTCATTCAGTTCGAGTTGGTTCTTGTTGAAACTTTATTGTTTTCATGGGCGTTTTACTGAATGGTGTAATTTGAACTTAAGGTCCCTGATTTAGTTAAGTAAAACTAGAAGTCATGTTATGGGACATACAACTTGTTTGAGGGAAGTGCACCTCAAGCGTAAAAACAAAAGGTTAAATTTCTAAGTCATGTTATCGGATACTAGATTTTTATGATAGATACGCTTTCTTTTGCATCAAGATTATACATTTTGAGGTATATATTTACCATAAACGTAAAATCTAATTTACACTTTTCGCAAGGACTAGAATCATAGATTCATTGTATAAATTGCAATCATAAATACTAATTTAAACCTTAGAGATTTAGTTATTTTCACAGCCAAACCAACATTTCTCAGTTTTTTTTTAATTTTTTTTAATTTTTATTTTATATATTTTTCTTTCTTCTCTCATTTTTTAACCCAACATTTCTCATTTTTAATACAACATTTAAATGATATCTTATTTAAATAAAAATGGTGATACACACAACATATATATTCCTTTGTGAGCTGTAAGATACTTTGTCTAAAAATAGTTTATTATCTATGAATAATATTGATAGTGCTTGAGATGATTTTAATTTGCAATTGTAGTTTTGTAGATTCAGTATAATTTAGTATCTGAAATTGCTTTCTTCGTAAATTTCATATCTTCATAAAATTATATGAAAAAAGCTATATTAAAACTTCAATAGCATCTATGAGGAAATTATAATTTTCATGGAAATATCAATATTTTGAAATTGCAACTGCACTTGAAATTGCAATTAGATTTACGTTGCTACTAAGGGGCAAATATCAATTTTTTGAAATTAAACTAAGGGGCAAATATCAATTTCAAGAGGCTCTAATCAAATTAATAGCAATTTTTATAGTTTAAAAATCTGATAATAACTGTAAAAAAAAAACTGATAATAACAAATTGATAGCAGAAGCAATAATAGTGCACACAAAGTCATAGCATGGTAATCGGTTAACATCAGAATATTCTTATTCATTTCTAATCAATACTATATCATATAATCGTGCTTGCGAGTGTAAAAGGGAATGACAGACTAAATTCAGAATCTAAAATTAAAATGTCGAGAAAAAAATATAGTCACGAATTAATCACCTAATGAAATGCAGAGAAGTGGGAATGTTCTGCTGGATTGTGATGATGATGATGATTTTTGTGATGATGATGATCAAACTGCTGAACCGAATCTTCTGTACTCGTGGTATCCAAAAGAATATCTCCGATTCCATGAATAACAAGCCAATCACTGTTATACAAATCAGGGAAAATCACCTGAACTCCATTATTAAGCAAAAACAAGTCACTACTAGCATGAGTTTTAGTAACATTCAATGTGAATCCTCTCTGATAAGTCCAGATCAACGTTCCTTCCTCCAACGTAACCAAATGCCTCCACGTGATCTTACAAGGCACAAGGTGACGGCGAAGGATATCGGAATAATCGGTTATGTTTCCGACGTGGCTCGCCATAGCTTCATCCATGGGCGCAAACAGTGTTATCTGATCAGGACGTTCTTTAAGACCTAGAAACTGCATATCGAGAAACGACGCCATAATAGAGGAGCCTCTCGATCTCAAAGCACTGCTAGCTTCCATGAAAGAAAATGTCGACGAATCGGAGATTAACCGCTTAGATCCGAAATCGCTTCTGTTCCTTTCGGCACTCTTTCTTGCTGAAAAACAAGCGCTGGAAGAAGGACGAGGAAGCTGGAAATAAGGATCGAAGAAAGTATCGGTTTGAAAAATAACGAGATAACCGTCAGCGAGTAAAGGCTTTGGATCAACGGTAACGTTGTTGATGGAGAGTCTATGGTTTGAGGTTGTGACGGTAAGGGAGTGACCGGGGAGGAGAGTGGCGATGTTGGCGCCGTAAGGGAGAGATCTGAGGCTATGGAGAGAGAAAGCGTGAGGGAGGAGATGGTAACGGAGGAGAGAAAGAGGAAGCTGAGGGATCTGGTTGAAGGCAAAGTTAGTCGGAGCGAAAACGGTTAAGGAGCGAGATTGGCGGCGAGCGAGGAGAGTTTGGGAAGCGAGTTCGAGGTTAAGTGCCATGGCTTCGAAACCAGAGGTAGAGAGGATTTCGGCGGCATCAAGAATGGTGGAGGAAGGGTGGGAGGAGGAGAGGGAGAGGAGGAGAAAGAAGGTTAACAGTGTGATGGTGAAGGTGGTGGTGATGGAAGCCATTGTTGATCTGAAAATCAAGTTAGTTACAGGTGTTAGTTACATAGTAGCTACGGTTTCGTTTTGATTTTTGGCGGGAAAAGTTTGACACGTGGAGGATTTTGATTTATGGTGAGAGAGGAGATTGTTGTTATATCGTTGGTGGAAAATGGTTAAACGGTCATTATGATTAGATGATGACCGAAAGAGTGAAATTGATTGACTTCAGAAGCTAATGTGATTTTATAAAATTTAAATGCATTATTTATATAGGAGAAAGATAAAAATTAATATGATCGTTTTTCTTTATGGAAATGTGCCCATTAAATTTAATTTTTAAATAGATTTTGTTTATGAAGTACAAGTATTCAAACAAATTCAAAGTATATATAAAAGGTTGGTTGATAAGTTAACTAATGACTTATGTCATGATGATTGATAGGTTTAAGTTTTGTTATTTCTTTAAAAGTTTATAACTTTTAGTTTATAAGTGCATATAACAATAAAAAATATTGTTGGCAACTGTTTAGATTTTTTAAATTATTTTAAAATATCAATTTATTTTTTTAAGTTTTTTTAAAATACTTTGATCATTTATGTTAACTAACGTTTATTTCGTTGATCTTTTTAAAAATCTCAATTCTAAAAAAGTTTATGTGGCACAAACGGAGCACGTGTAACATTTAACTATGATGATGTGTCAATTTATTTTATTTTTTTAATTTCACGTAGATTTTAATTTTTTAATTTTTAATTTTTTAAATAATTTTTTTAATTGGAAGGACCTGATTGTTACATTTTAAAAACATACGGGACGTGAGTGTTACAAATTAAAATATAACTTGATACATTGTTTTACATTATTTTGAATCTTAAACAATAAGTGATATGTTATTTTACACTATTTTGAACCTTAAACAATTATAAGAGAGCATACCAAACATTAAATAATCTAAATATTGTTAAAAATATTGTTATAATGTTATAAACCAATACATATATAATCTAACAAATAGGGATACAAGATAATCATATTTATTACTAAAGATATTAAAATCAGTTTGAAAATACTTGTTTATACTTTTTATGCAAAATTATTAATCCAACTTTTCATCTAATCACCCAATTTTCTTTAATAAAAACTAATCACTTTTTTCACCCAGTATCTTTACACAATTTCATCAATAAATTATAATTTTTTGCGTCACTAGTTGCAACAATAAACATTAAATTTTGATTACACAATTAATAATCTAATCAAATTCATTTAAAATTAAAAAAGAAAAGAAAAAGAACCCTTAGTAATAGAAAATAAAAACAAGTCGCACATTTTGCTTGATCAATCAATCATATCGACCCCCTTACTCCCAAATATCAACAAGAAAGTTAATAATTTCCTATATCAGAAAATACCATCATCAATCATTAATATGTTGTCATATTTTATCTTACTAGAATATCAAATTTCAATAATTGAAGAACCATGTTTAAAAGCCGCATCCACTCCATGTTCTTTAGTGTTCAATAATATTGACGTTTTGATGAGAGTTATTCTTTACCGATGTCATGTGCATAATAAGATAATATGTTTTTGACATATTTTTACCCTTGGTGTTCCTGATGACTGGTTTTCTGCTCGATGGTGGTCATGCAAAGGTGGTGACATATTTCTGTTCCATATTTATACCCTTTTATGTATTGGTTTATGCATATATTGGTTTATGTATGTATTAATTTATAACATTATAACAATACTTTTGACAATATTTAGATTACTTAATGCTTGACATCTTGTCTTGTAATTGTTTAAGGTTCAAAATAGTGTAAAACAACACATCAGTTATTGTTTAAGTTTCAAAATAGTGTAAAACAACGTATCAGTTATATTTTAATTTGTAACACTCACGTCCCATATGTTTTTAAAATGTAACAATTAGGTCTTTCCAATTAAAATAAAATAAAAATAAAATTCAAAAGAAAATTAAAAATTAAAAATTAAAAAAAAATCAAAAGTAAATAAAAATTTAAAAATTTAAAAATTTAAAATTCACATGGAATTAAAAAATATATAAAAATAAAATAAAATGACACATCATTGCTGTTAAATGTCACATGTGCTCCATTTGTACCACATATTTTTTTGGAACGAAGATTTTTAAAAAGGTCAACGACGCAAACATTAGTTAATATAAAGAACCTAAGCGTTACAAAAAAGATTTAAAGGACTAACTTGATATTTTAAAATAAATTAAAGGACCTAAACAATATTTTTGCCTTTACTTTATTAGTTTATACCTTATTTTCTAGATGCTATTATAAATAGCGTTTTAACTTATAACTTATAACTTATCATTTTTTCTTCCACTTTTTTCCTTATCATTTTAACTAAAATCCATCACTATCCTATATAATTTATTTTAATTTAAATAAAATAGTTATATATTAAATGCTTTTTTTATGTCATTTTAATTTGTCAATTAAT